GTGGCGGTGGTGGTGCTGGTGGTGGCGGTGGCGGCGGTGGCGGTGGCGGCGGCGGCGGGGCTGCTGCTGCTGCTGCGGCTGCTGCTGCTGGTTGGTTTCCCGGGACGCTCTGGCGACAAACGCCGGCAAGGATGGTTGGTTTCCCGGGGCGTTCTGGCGACAAACGCCCCCCAATGATGGTTGTTCCCGCTGGTTTTGGGGTAGCAACGCACCAGTATATTTAACCGACGCCCGCGGTTAATAATTATCCCGGCCATGTCGGCGGCATTTTTTGTACTATGTATTATGTATTTACGGACTTATCTTTGTGTTGTTTTTCATTCTTTCCCCTATGTTTGTCCCATTTCCCTATGATTTTGTATATTGTATGTTACTGTCTTCCTAAGTATTCCTAGTGTTTTTCCATTTTCCTGCCCCAAGGACTCTTTACATCTCAAAGAACGCCGAAAAGATTCTGTACATCTCAAATAACGCCCAAAAGACTGTTTACATGTCAACTGCAGCCCCAAAGACTCTTTACATCTCAAATAAAGCCCCAAAGACCACCCAGTTGTACTATCACCCATCTGGTTGTATTTTCCCTTTTCGGAGCCAATTTCTAAAAATTTCAATTGCATTTTGACCCATCTGGTTGTATTTACACCCATCTAGTTGTATTTGGACTTATTCTCCCTTTACGTCCTAAACCCCAAATACGAAACTGTCCTTCATGAGGCCCTGATTTTGAATCGTTTGTATTAGGCCCCCTGACTCGAAACAGTCCGTAATTAGGCCGTAATGCGAAATAGTCCCTAATAAGGCTCGAATTTCAGATAGTCCCTAATAAGGCCCTAACCTTGGAAATGGTCCCTAAAAAGGCCATACCTTGATAATCCCTGACAAGGCCCTAATTTGAGAAAGTCCCTATTAAGGCCCTAACTTGGACTACTCCTTAATAAGAGCCTAACTTGAAAATAATCCCTAGGAGGCTCTAATTGGAGATAATCCCTACTAAGACCCTAAAATAGTCCCTCATAAGGCCTTAATTTGGAATAGTCACTAATAAGGCGCTAATTTTGGAAGTGGCTCCTAAAAAGGCCCTAATTTGAAATATTTCCTTAACAAGTGCTAATTTACAACTGTCCCCAATAAGGCCCTAATCAATGCGAAAAGGGGGCAAAAAAACCGAATAAAACTGAGGATAGGGCGCTCGATACGCTCCATCCCGGTGACTTGGACTTGCCCTCGAATCAAAGCATCTACATTGCCAGTTTTGCGGCAGGCCTTGCAGTGGAAGTGCCCAGGCGGAGCGAAATTTATGCAACCCGTGTCAAAAGATACGGCCAGTTGGTCAAATTGCTGTGTCCCCTGCAAGCTAGCGCAAATCATGCGTCGAGCCCCGTACTTGCCATCAAGTACAACCAGGGGATTTAACTTGCACTGCGGGCACGTCTGCAGGTGCTGCGCTACATCATCCATGCGACGCTTGCGTATGCAGGCGACATGCTGCAACAAGGACTCGTCGAAGTCAGCATTGAACTTCCAGTTGCAATCCCGCGGCTCGTTTCCGCAGAGGTTGACAGCGTTCCAGGTGTACCATGCCATAAGCAGATCTTCTTCCACTTTGGGCAACAATGTAAAATCATTTCCGAAGATCAGCTGCTTTTGCAAGTTGTCAGAATGGCGGCGAGCCCACAGCATCACTGCGGATCGAAGGGAGCCAGCTGCAAACTGCAACGTGTCTGTTAGATGTTGCAAAAGAGAGACCTCAACTGCATAGTAACTGCGGTACTTGGGGATCACGAAGAGACTGCGGCGCAAGGGCGCCTGCCAAATGTATTGCACATCCGTCATGTGACCAAACCGGGCCTGTCCTTTCTGGAAGCACCAATCGTCTAAGAAGAAACGCTTGCAAAAAGGACAGCTGCTTTCCTGGAACGAGGCGAAGAGGACTCCCGCAGCAAGTGAATACACTCGGAAGCGATGTTCTTCAAGTTGGCATTGTCCGTGCAAGCTGTTCGGGACTGTGGCAGAAGCAGCACTTTCGCGACGCTTGAGCGACGGCGCGTTGTCACAAAACGGACAAGTGTCCCGGTTGTTGTGTACCTGGAGCAGCACTGCACATGGCGCCAAAGCCTGGAAGGTTTTCATGCTCGCCGGCGCGTCCACACATGTCGGCCCTAGAGATGACTCAAAAACCGCTGGCACGTAGTACTGAAGCTTCCACACAACATTGGAAGCCACTTCATCCGAAAGGGGCACACCTAAAGTCTTGGCTGCCACCTGCTGCAAAACAGGCGGCAGGAGAGCGGCAGGAACGCAAGCTGCCAGGCTGCAGAGTGTTGGCAGCGTGGAAGCAGGCAGCGGCGAGAGCAACCTGGAGACCGAAAAGTCCTGTCCAAGCTGCCCTTGGTCGGCCATGGCCGTACGAGCATGATTGGGGATGTGTCACTGCAAGTAATAGCGTTGTACAGCATCTAATCTTAGCTACATCACGCAAGACCAAAGGCCCTCCCCATGATAGCTAACCCCCACCCCCTAAACAGACTTCCCCTACAATAGTGGGCCCCTATAGAGGAGGGGGTCTACTATTATGGGGAGGCTGAGTGTATTTTTGGGGGGCAGGTGACTATAGGCGGAACCTGAAACGCGTAGCGGTCGCGTGCACTGGCAATTGGGAAGGTACCAGGCGTGCAAGGTCCACGCGGGGCGTCTACGGACAAACTACCCCTGTGCAAAGTTGCTGACGCATCGAGTTTGTCCGAGCCTGCTTCTGAAGTACCCGTTTGCAATGAAGGAGCTGTACATCTGAAAAAGCACGGGTAGCTTATTTCTTTATGGCTTTGGGTATTTGCACTCAAATCGTATGTGAAAATTCTTCATCAAGAATATGATCCTCAAAGAGTCAACCATATAAATATAAAATAAAGAACTCACGCTCACACGCAACCTTCTTCTTTTTACACGCAAAGGGGCATGGATGTCACTGGAACCTCGTGCCGGCATGCACAGAGGAACCACACTCATGGTGCAGTCGCCTAAGCTGAAGGCGCATTCGCCCAGCTACCGCATCCCATACCCCTATGCATCACACGGAAGCGGGGCGAGGTCCTATCCAAATGGGCATCTCCTAACAACCCTATCCCTTATGCTAAGGTACGCGCGCCGTACCTCCTCGACCTCCAAGTTAAAGGATGCTGGCAGCAGGGTGCTGAGTTGCATGCGAGAGGGAGCATCATTTTTTCATTTCATTCGTACGCAGCCAGCGAGTCACTGGTCT